AAAATTGTAAACCACTGAAAATGTGAAAAAGTCCGGGGGGAATACATTTGATGGCCACTGTACATTCACTTATAGACTGTAAGTCTTTAAAATGAAATCTATAAATAATACTAGTTCCCCCCCCCCCCACCAACCTGTACTAATATTTCAGTGGATAAAGGTATCAGCCTTAAAATAAATATAATACTGCACCTCATCTGACATAAATGTTCAGTTCTATAAGGAATACATATGAAACACATTTACAGATTTAAAAAAGATTTACAGATTTCTTATAAAACTGCTAAACTAATTCTGATTCCAACACTTACAGATGAGAACTTCACTTTAATATATAGGAGATGTTTGTTTGGTATATAATTCAAAAATTTCATTTATTACAATGCTAAGCTGCTTAAGAATGTAAACATTAGAAACAACAGGATGTTCGTCCAGTGCTAAATTATATATAAGGATATTTCAACATTAGCCCTTCTAGTCCTGTCAATTGTTGGATTTTAATGTGATAAGCTAATTAGTCTATTGATGAATGTTTCATTTCAAGGAATTATGAAGCTGACAATTATGACAGTAATGAAATAAAAGAGCATTACAAAATGTTCAGCTCTTGCCTAGTTCAGAGAAAGTGAAAATGACAGTTCTTTTAATTGTTTTTCAAGGTTGCATATGAAGAAATATAAAGAAAAGACCTCTGGGAAATCATCATCATCTGGGAAAAATATAAAAGCTTTTAGAATTTCAATTCAAGTGAAAACAGTGTGTTCTTCAGCAAGGCCATCAGAATGAGTTGATGAGCAGAGGGCAGGCTTTGGTAAAGGAAGAAGTGTAAACAGAACTGCACCATATTAGAAAAAAAATCAAAACACCACATTTTAATAGCATTTCATTACAGCAGCATACAGATTCACTTGATGTACAAACAAAATGCCATCTCAATTTTTTTTTTTGTAAACAAGCTGTATATACTGTTCCACTAGCAAAATCTCTTACCCTTTTCAAAAGATTTGTTTTAAAAATACCAAATGGAGAACAGGTATTATGTTCACAATGTATTAAAAAGAAAATTGGAGAGCCCTGAGTTTGACCTTTGACACTTTTAACGTGGGATTTTGGTCTGGTTGAACACTCAAGTAAATGCAGCTTTCAATGGGCTGAAATAACAGCTCAATGGCAGTGGAATCAGTCACTTCTCCTTTTTTACATCCATTTCCTTTCAAAGACAGTAGTAGAAATAACCGGATGTGCTTTCTTCCACCTTGGCTTTTGCAATTACTTCATTAAATCAACATTTTCACTTCCTTGGTCAAAATAAGTCTTTTCCAGGAATGTAGCAGTTGTTTTATTTGAAGTGACCTGTGAACCTTACGTGTGACATTGAGAACCAGGTCAGGACATTGGTGACCTATTAGGGAAACTCAGCTGCAGACAGGCTGCTTCACGGCCATTCATTAAAATCAGCAAGCCTTCAAACTCTCTCAGTAAATAAGATTATCTAATACAGTACATATAAAACAACTTCTTGTCAACACTAAATGTTACAGACATCTCATTTTGTACAAATTTCAAAAACTGGCTCTGACAGCATTTCCTTTTTTTCTTCCTTTCATTTTTTTTAAATAACTCCAATAGACAAGCTGGACAAAGAGCATTATTTACAGTAACAAAAATGCAAGTATATATATATCGCCTAAAAGCTAGGTTGGCCCCCTTTTCATTGCCTGGTACAAGAAACTAATAAATCATAGGCTTCCTGAGATGTGAGGAGCCATTTCTTTTGTCTTCAATGAAATTCACTAAAGGAAACAAAAACTGCACAGTCGGTTCCTATTTAATCCCTTTTTCTATTGGATTAAAAATACCTGCCTTACTATTGCACCACCCACCATTCCTACAAACCCCACGTAAAACAAGTACATCTTCAAGTGTCACACCTGTGTTTGTCCACTACAACACTACAGGCATTTACGCATTAACTTTATTGATCCTGAAATAAATTAGAAATAAATAAGAACTAAAGTAGTATGGTAGAATTCAAATAAATAAACAGAGATCGACGGTTAAATGGTGGTTTTTTGTTTTCCTGTTTGCAGCTGATCGCTCAGTCAACTTTCTTTGTTCGCAGTCGGGCCAAGTCCAGGATGTACTTGCAGGTGGGGACAGCAGTGTAGAACAGAAGAGTGAGCAGTTTGCCGTGCGCCATCGTCAGCAGGGTCTGGTGGCCGGTTGCCCACACACGGTACCAGGGCCCATAGAAAGGATCCGACACCGCTGGGCACAGCATGTTGTTGAGATTCACCTCTGTGACCTGCAGGTGACACCAGAAGCGTCTGGATTAGACTGTGAGAGATACTGGACTTTCTACAACTCCGAAGGGACAAAAGCAAAACGGTTTCCAGCATTAAAGCATTCTGTCACAGCTTACCATTTTCCAACATAATTATTCTATTCCAGCATCATTTCATTTTGAAAGATCTCAGCCTATTAACTGAAACAACATGGCTTGATCATTTTTACAGACATCAATTATTCACGGTCTAAAAGGTTTTTGTGTCAAACATTAGATTACAGCTCTGACATGGAGGTAATATACCGTGTAGCAGATCCTCCAGTCAGGATGTATTGTGGAGGACCTACTGTTCATACATTCACCGTATTACTTTCTATTCATGGGAAATTAAGAGTTTAGGTTGGAACAACCCAATATAAATTTCCCTAACCTTCCTGATTTTGGTTTGTCTACCTACAGCTATTTTCTAGTTATTGTGTCTTATTCAATTCCTGGTTTGGCCTGAGGTCTAGACTTAACCTTGGTTATTAGACTCTGACACAGTAATCATCTTTCCATGTTGGACATTCATGGAGAGCACTAAGCATCTGAATTTTTTTTGCAAGCCAAGTCTGTTGCTGAGTTTTAAGGGACATTTGTGCTAGGTTGGAGTATGATGGCTAAGTGTTCTAAATTGATCAATGGTCTTACCAGTCCCAGTGCCTGAAGAAAGGTGAAATGATAGAAGAACAGGATGCCAGTGGAGAGAAGAGCCCACCAGAAATCCCCCAAAGGCTCTGGCGTGTAGACACCTGTAAGAGATTAAAGCACATGCATATACAGTATGAATGTGTATTTATAGGTACATACTGAGCCAGCAAATATACACAAACATACTCTCATGTGTCACAAGTATAAACTCAAAGCTTTCAGTGGTCTCAGTAGTTTTTATTAAGGTAATTGTCTTTGTGTCCTATACACAAAATCCCCATACCTTTGCTGCAACCAGGGAGTTTTCACATAACCAGCCTCTCCTGGGAATTATATATGCTTGTATTCAAAGCACTTTGGCACTTTATTTTTCTATGGGGATTAAATTACCCAAGTGTGTGGAATATAGGGCTCAAAGTTGTCATTGAGGACACTGCCTTAAAAACACACACACAAAGCAAAAGTAAAACTATTACCCTAGACCAAAGAAAGAGTATTATTTAAATTTCAAACATCTAACAAAAGGAACAAATATTTAATATGTCATTCTTCTGTCTTCCACTCAGTGTCTCTCATACCTCATGCTTTGCAGCTACACATTATGAATGCAGGGATGATAAAACAGGGAAATATTAATGTGACAGATAATGGCGATAGACTAGAAAAACAGTGGATGGAAAGCAATGGAGAATATTCTGTAAAATTGTTCTCTATTTCTTCTGCACTTTTTACACTCATTGTTACATGCAAACATTCCAATTTGTAAAACACTGTTTCACTGTCTGCCCAGTATTCATTTGGAGAAAGCTTTTATCTCAACAATTCATGAGTAGGGATACAGAATAAAAATAATGCAAGATCATACAGCTGTATTTTACAAAATTACTCTATCAACAAGTATATCTGAAAAATATTACATATATACTACATACAATACCACAACAGCTTCAATTATGTGATTTCCAGTACTGTGTATAAATTAAATCATGTATAGTTTATTGACATATAAAAATTTTAATGCACTGATATGGATTCAGATCTGACTGATTTTTTCACACCTTTTATTTTCCAAGTTTCAGACTTTTGTTAACCAAGGATTTGATCAACTCCAAATTTCCATTGATGGCAGAGACACTGATATGACATGTGATATGTGAAAAATATTTCAAAATCTTCCTTTTAGGAAACTATTTGAGTAAACAGATTTAATTGTTACTACAATAGTTTTTTTATGTCCACATCACATCATAAAAGTTTTATTGAGATACGGCCTGTTTTGCAAACCGCTCTTGTTCAAATACAGTTTGGCAAGTTAACTCAAAACTTGTTAGGCTTCAAGGATATTGAAGTAACAGAATACAATTTAAGTATATTGAAATGGGGTTCCTGTATAGACATACTGTAGAGATGGCTGCTTGCCTTCCATTTTCTTCCCAAACAAAATATTTTGCAGCTACTGCTAGGGCAAATAAATCCAAAATCCACAGGTATCATCTTGGGCAAAATACAAATAAAATATAGTACAATGGTCCTCCTATAGTACAATGTGAAACTAGATGGCTTCCTGTCTATGTTGGCCATTTTTATCATTGTATTTTGAACATTAAAACTGCCTGTATGAATGAACAATTGGTTCAAAAATTGAACAGTCATCCTGGATAATTGACTATAACATACGCATGGTTCCAGTTGAGAGGAGACCATTTGGCCCATTTAGCCAATTTGGTGGGAAATAACAGGTAATAGATCCAAAGATCTCATCCACCTATTTCTTGAAGGAAGCCAGGGTATTGTTTTCAAATACATGGCTGGGTAACTTGTTGCATACTCCCACCACCCTTTGTGTAAAATTGCCTCCTGTTTTATTAAATGCTTTTCCAGTTTCCACTTGTGTCCTCCGCTTTGTGTTTCATTGTTTACCCTGAGAAAGTCAATGAATGTGAGGAGGTGCAATGACAAAACATTGTACCAACATCAACCTAGTGCCCTGAGCTGCATTTTCAAAAACATGTCAAACTTTTACTATTTCAGAAGGACTAAACCATGTATTTAAAACTTCATCAGCGTGGCTCAGCATTAGATGTTGTGAAAAATTTGAAATTAACTGCAACATCAGAGTGATTTTCACTATGGGCTAGTTTGTTCTGTTATCCGATGAAAAGCCCAAAGAACTGTAAAACAATAAAAAAAACAAAGGTCGTGGGAATTCAGGAGAAACTAGCAGTAGTAAAGCAGCATCAAGGACACTAGTTCACTAGAAATTGAGTGATTAAAAGATTTCTAAAAAATGCTTTCCAATAGCCATAAAACACAAATTCACTTTTCCAGTTTCTAACTGTTCATGTGTTACATTACTACAGTATTGTCTACAGATCTTTATTTGAACCAGTCAAATTCTGACTAAAACATTGATAACGTCCTTAGCAATTCTATTTCTTCCCCTGCAGCATCAATGTAGACTTCATCTTTTGCCAAACTGACAAATTGCATTGCTCAAGGGTTCCAAAGCTATATACAGTAGTGTCTCAACATTCAAGGGTTTGTCACAGAGAACAATTGTGAACAGCCAAATTTGCAAATAATCAAATCCACCCCTATAACATTGCATAATATAATTTAATATAGTATACAGTACAGTATGTATGGTTAAAATACATAAGTAACATTCTCTTATATGATAATTAAAGTACTAATGCACTGGCTTTATGTCAATTAAAATAACTAAAACACACAACAGTAATCACAATCTTATAGTAATCATTTAAAGTAAACAACATGAATCCCTTCTCTGCGTCCAGCAGATGCCTGAACTTTCTCAGTCTTCCCTGCTCCATGTTTAGTATGCCCCACTGTAATGGAAAGGGCAATAAGGGCAAAAGGGCGAGCCTTTGTTACAATACAAAAACAAGACCACACTGAGATATGGATGCTGAGTAGAAGGCAGGGGAGAGGGAGAAGCTCATTCATTTGCTAGATTTACCTCACGATTCCAATCTGTTGCGCAAATAATTTGAAAGGTTTGCTTATTTGAAAGGTGCGTTTTGGCTCAGTTTCATCCCCCATTGTTCTTCTTCTACACAAAACACCCTCTTCCAGAATGAATTGCAAAAAAGTGAATTTGCTAATGTAAGATTCTACTGTATATTATTTCAATATGACTTTCTGCTACCATGCTCAGCCAATAGGATGTTTCTTTCCATATAAGGCATGCTTTGTGTGTGACTATACATACTGCATTGATAATCTCAACAGTTGTATCTGCAAGTGTTACTCTGAGTTGAGTATACTTCTTAACCAAAAACACCCACTAATTGTACCGGGAGCTTTATTTAATTGTTGTACGTGGGTAGCAACATCCTTTAAACATCAGCATTACTTTTAAAATTGACAAGGTTAGCGAAAACTTATTTTTTTTAAATGATCAGTTGCATTGACTTACTGTAAGTAGTGTGGACATTTAAAATGTATATTAATACATTACCTCTTAAACACAACTTTAAAGGTTACTTTTGAAAAAATAACTTTCCCCCTAACACTGGTTATAGGACCTACAGTAAAGTACTTTGCAACCTCAGAGGTTTTAGGTTTTGATTCACACTCCAGTGGAATTTTTAAACACTGATTAAAAACTCACTGACTACTAAATTCTTGGATTTTCATAACTGGTTTAACAGAATTCTAATTTAAGGTTTACAACTGATTATTCCCAATATGCTACCCATGTTTTTGGATATATACTGTACAGTTCTCTTGAAAGATATTGGGACAACAAAGTCAAAACTGTTATTTTTGCTTTACAGGTACACAAGTGTTATTTGTGATTATTACATCAATATGAATGATAATTAAAGTATATGTTTTATTATATGATGTCAATGATGAGTTAATGAGGGCAGCAGCAGAATATGTTATGATGCTTGCAGAAACATTTTGTCTGTTTATGTAGAAGAAAAGGTCGGTACAATAGTACAGTGGTTAGCACTGCTGGGGCACTGGGTTCGATTCAGGACCTGGAGTGCTATCTGCATGGAGTTAGCGGAAAAAAAGCGGAAAAGGTTAGACTACTCAAGTAAATCACCAGATTTAAATCCAATTGAGCATATATTTTACATGCTGGAAAAAAAAAAGGCAGAACTCCCCAAAAACAAGCAGGAAAGTGGTTACAGCAAAGCCTTGGTGAAGTATCTCAAAATATTACATAAAGATTTTAGTGAGCTCAGTGGGTCACAGACTTCATGCAGCTAGTTTGGAGGGATATGCAACCTAATATTTTTATAGTCTGTAATTTACTTAATCACATGTTTCCCCATACTTTCAGAGCAGTCATGTGAAATCACTACATAGAACACAAAGTATTGTATTGTATTTGACATTCATATTAATCGCAAAAATCACAATGACAAATTCCTTGACTATCAAGCACAGAACAGTTTTGACTACTGTTCTCATATTTTGGAGGGCATTTCATATGACAAATACTGGTGATCAAGTGGAAACAACTTAAAAAACCAACAAATTGAAATAAACGGATTTAAAATGTCCCCATAATTTTTAGTTATTTTAAAAGAATTTACGGTTTGGAGAAAGACTCCAAGCAAATACCCTAGCAGAACACTTCACATACAGGGGGACACTCTGATCTCATCATTGAATTTACAATGAAAAGTCAGGAGCATATAACACATTTATTAAAACATTTAAAAAATCTATCCTCATTAGGTATATAACTACCTTCTCAGGTGGGTAGCTATCCACCTGAACTACTACAGCCTACACCTGCTGTGACCCACTATGTCTTCCTCCAAATCTTTTTCTAGATCTCATCATACCTTTTCTTCCTCCCTGGGCCACTTGCCCCCTTCTCTCACTAAACAAACATTCCATCTCTTCACAGCTATCTGTTCCAAGACCAGGCTTTCTAACCACCTTCTATTCCTTTACAGATGTTGTCAACATGATATAATCCCTAAAGAATTTTGCCTGAAATTTAATACCTTTTCTTTTGATTCTGATACCACCCAGAGTAACATTCAGAGACTTCTAAAACAATTTTCTAGGAAACTAATGCTTTCTACCATTTTCTCCCTCAAAAAACAGATTA